GGTGAACTGCACTTATTAGGATAATAGGAAAATTATGGAGAAAGAAATAATATTAGAATTCTACTTTGGTGACAACTGTTTTAGAGCATTTGGAAGCCTTCTCATGCTGTGAATAAAACATGTATAGAAATGGAAGCCATGGCTCCTAGCAGTCAACTGGCTTGGTCTCGTGGTTTCACACAAGGAAAAGGTCATCTTTTCCTCAGACTATAGACAGTGACACACTCAGAGCCTGAGAGAGAATTTCTTCCTCTTAATCACTCATCCATTATTAAGCATGTTCTCCTTGGAACAGTCAACAACGAATCAATAAAATATATTCCCTCTGTTAATAATATAGTGTCTATCCCCTTGAGGCTATTTTTCCTTGCTTTTAGAATTTGTCATTTTTAGCAAAGCATCTTTCTCCCCTGATATAAAAATCAACATCTGGTCAGAAGATTTACTTTGAGCCTTTCTAAAATATTAACATGCCCTTGAGTGTACAGTCAGTTATAACCTTTATACATTAGAAAAGTAAACAGGGATACTGGAGTATAAATTTATTTTTAAAGTCAAGGTCAAGTGAAAATTGGACCTCTGTTTGTTTGGAAATAACAGTATTTTACAAACTATACCTTTCATAAAAAGTAATCTGTATAGACATGTATGCAAGTATTCTACTTCATCACAAGTAGCACAACTTAGAAAGCAATGAAATAGATCCTAAGTAAATATTTGATGACGGGTGAAGGAGAAAGAAAAACAGGCAGGGTAGAAAAGAGAAAATGAGATAGAAGGATGCCCAGGTCTTATTTCCTATTTACAGAACTCTAACATTTATGTTTTTGATTGAATTATACATATGTTTCTTAGAAGAACCAAACACTTTGACTCTATGGTATTAAAAGCCTTTTTCTACATGACTGCATAGCTTACAACACTTCTGTACTTTTGAGATTCAGTTAACTCTTCCCCTGAAATACAGCTTCAAGTATTCCACATTTGTCTACAATAGCACACTGGTGGTTAATTTGTGGGGGAATAAAGTTACAATGGAAGCATAATTAATATCTTTCCCTACACAAATCGTGGAAAAACAACTATAAGATTAAACCAACTGGGGCATCTTGCAGGACAGTGAGAAATATGTCAAAGAACAAATTTTATTCATTGTCTATTAGATGACCAGCAATTTTATATACATTTTACTGTTCACAGTAACCCCTGAGTCCAGGCACAATTACTATATAACTAACATATTATAAAACAAAAAGATTAAGTAATTAGCCTAGCTCAGGATCACACTGCAAGAGAGCATCAGCAATGAAATTCAAACTCAGTTTCCTTTACTGCAAAGCAGATGTTTTTGTCTACTTTATCATACTAACAATTTTATAATGATGAAATGGTATATGGTAAGCTATCCTTCAACTGGATATTTTTTCTTTTTCCTTTTGGCTTTTGAACTATTTTTTTCCTGCATACTTCTGCTATGTAACCACCAAGAACAGGGTGGGAAATATAATATTCACTGCCTCTATTAATTCATAGCTATCCCATTTCCAAGAAAAGGGAATTTTAGCATCAAAATCATGCATCTACCCATGAATATCAACCTTCCTAATCAACTGTCCTTCTTAGATCTTCAGAAAACTTAAATATATGACTTGGGTTACCAAACAATAATTGAGACTAAAAGGAAAGGAGAAAAGGTATGAAGAAATGAAAAGCCCACAAGTGATGAGGTTTTCTAGAAGAGTGAGAACAAGAAAGACCGGGAAGAGGAAAAGAGGAAGACGTGCCTTCACAGAGACAAAAAAAAAAAAAAAAAAAGATGTAATACATTGTGGGCATGAAGACAGTTTTCTTCGTGATTAGTGACCCGTATTTGCATTTCTGTAAAATCACATCTGAGTTTGCAGGATCACAACAACATCAGCGAAGTTGCTGGTTCGTTGTTACATACTGTCCCAGTGTTGAAAAACAAGTCATCCGCCAGCTTAAATATTATTGACTCATTGATTGAATGCTTTTACTAAGAGTGCACGTCGTGATGAAAGGCCAGTCTTTTGTTGTTTTTAGAATACTTTCTTGAGCTGTATGTGCAACTGTATTGTTCTCTCACAGGCATTTTTCAGTTTGCTGTTGAGAAGTACTGAATATATGATAGATCTCTACAACTTGCTACTCAAACTATGAAGGTTATGAGGAAGTATTTGATTGTCTAACAGTATTGAGGTTATGAAGGAAATACACAAACATTAATATTATAGTGGTTTTGTAAAACATGAGATTGTTATAAAACTATGACTTTTTCCATAGATCAATAGTGAAAAATCCATAGATTTTTTTTTTAAATCCCTCCTGTTCATATACACATCTTTTGTGAGTGCCACTCATCTGGACCACTCTAGAAAGAAGTGGTGCAGACAACCATCTGATTGCAGAATGGGCCAACTGCCCAACAACGTATACTTAAAAAGAAAAATGATGAGGACAGGTTTGTCATTCAGACCAAAATACTAACCCTAAATTTTAATGAATAATAACAGCAATAATAATGCAACTAACAGTTAACTACTTATTACATGTTAAAAAATAGCATAATCACTTTAACTATATTCTCTTCTTTTTTATCTCTGAAACAATTCTATAAGGTATGTACTATTGTTAACCCCATTTTACAGATGAGGGAGGTGAGGCTACGCTAACTTGGAGAAAGGAACTTGCCCAATGACACACATTTGGCATTAGCCAACCTGGGACATGCAATAAGATTTTCTGACTTCAAAGCACTGCTATGCTGTTTTACTGGTACCACCTAGAGAGAGCAGGAATTGTCAGAGTCCTTCTGAAATGACTCCATAGTTATTTAGGACACATGTTTTACACAACCCGGGGAAAACAAGTCAAAGGAAAAACTACTACTTTTGAAGCCTGTACTTGCCAGGCATGTGGAAAATGGTTCAGCCCTCAGTCTCTCCTTTTCAACAATACAAAGATCCTTCCTGAAAAGGAAATTACATGGAAAATCTTTGTTTTTTTTTTTTTTAACAAAATGAACACACTCTGATATGTCTTTGTTGGTTTCATATTATCTTCTTTGCCAGCATCCAATTGAAACAATGAATATATAAGTTTCCATTAGCCTCAGGTACCCATGGGGCTGCCATTAGGCATATCTTTTGTGTGTGACAGGTGTGCTGACGAAGCCCTTTGTGAGCACCTCAAACCACAGCAGCTGAGTGGTAATTTTTTCCTTTAGGAAATTTTGGAGGATGATTACTCAGACCTACCTAACAAGTTGTAGACTTTTTAAAAAATAAATAAGTATACAGATGTGTATAAATAGAAATAAATAACTGAATCCTTTTTGAACTTTCCCAAGTTCAAAAATCCCATAACTAACTGTTCCTGTGAATTCAATATTTTGAATGTGCAGACCTCCCTGAGAGTCCATGCTGAGTGGCTACAGGGGGGTTCACCCCACTTTTTTTTCAGGAAGAGCTCCACATAGTTGTTTCCTTGGGGAGCATATTCAATTGATTTCTGACAATATCAGCCATGCCATCCAGTTCTAAGCACTTTTTAAATGATGATATATTTCAGATCAGGTTACATCTTAGCACTATTAATCTGACACAACCTCCCACAAGCCATAAAAATTTTAGTAGCATCTTATTTATCTTTTACATTCAAAAGCATTTTGACTCTGATCCATAATAATACAACCATGTGTTTTTTACTATAAATATGAAAAGGTTTTCTCTCAGAATCCATAATTCAAAGTGGATATCGCATGTATGTGCTCCACGTTTATGGCCCAGATTTACATCACCCCCAGAATACTGTGGCACTTCTGTGCCACAGGGTCTTACTTAAAAAGTGTGACTTGTATATCAATTTTTATTTTAAGGGACATCAGCCTATGACTAAATGCATAACTTGAAGTTACCAGTATAATTGTCATCTGTATGATACAAATACTCACCTTTATTCTACCAGAGCAAATTTAAAGCAACTTTTCTTAAAGTGAATCTTTTTTTTTTTTCAAAAACCTTGTATAAGATAAATCATTGGTGAATAATTCCAGGAAAAAATTCAAAAACAAGAGTTCAACACTATTTTTGTGAGAAAGTTCTGATACTGACTTAGGTTTGGCAAGACAGATGCTAAAGTGTTGAGATGTAAAGAATCACCTTCCTCATGCAGAAGTTGCGTTTACATCTTTGCTGACTCTAGAATATAAATCTACTCCTAGAACATAACATGTTCTCTTTTCTTTTTTTTATTTTTTGTTCCTTCTTCTTTTTTCTTGTTTACACTGACTACTAGAGATGAACTGCAAGTTTCCACTTTTATCATTAACTGGCTCTTATGTGAATTTCTTTTCTAATTTCATGCTTCAAATTAGATAAAGTGATAGTATCATCTTTGATTCTTCTATAAAATTTATGATGCATTTCTTAAAAGAAGAGATCCCATAGCAATTTATAAAATATGGACAAAAGTTCAGAAAATTAGGACTTTATACCTATTAACATATATATACCTAGGTCTCCTCAGTTACCACTTAAAACTAAGAATAGCTGGGCTATGATCCCAAAGGCTTGGGAGGTTGAGGCAGTAGGATCGCAAGTTCAAAGCCAGCCTCAGCAAAAGCAAGGTGCTAAGCAACTCAGTGAGATCCTGTCTCTAAATAAAATACAAAATAAGGCTGGGGATGTGGCTCAGTGGCCAAGTGCCCCTGAGTTTGATCCTGGGAAAACTAAAAATAATGTACAAAATAATTTCTGCAAATACTACAATTTGAGTTAATTTCAAAGCATTCTGAACTTCAAAGTATTCTGAACCAGATATGTTCACATTCCAGAGTTCCTCTTTTCACTTACTGACCAAATCACATGATAAAGAAACCTCAGACTTAAACTCAGGAGGATCCTTAATCCTATCACAAATCTTCAAGCCCAGAGCTCACATCTTCCACCAAACACAGGCACTGAGTGAGAGGTCCTCACCTGGGTCAGGTGGCACACAGGCACAGGAAAAGTGTGTATTGTAGCCCACTTTGAAGTCAGAGTTGATGGGGTAGTAATCTGCTAGCTTGATCATCTTCTTGAAAGCATCATAGATAAAGATGAAGCTAATCAGAGAGGAGAAGCCCTCTTCTGTGAAACGAGTGAAATACTGCACCAAGAAACTGGCATCAGTGGCTACTAAAATGAGACACAGGAAGGCTGACCACAGGCCGATCCAAAGGCGAAACTCCAAATAGTCAAAATTATGGTCCCTGGAAAGAAGAATGAAAGGTATTTAGACTTCTCTCCAATGAAATACACAAAATACAAAACTACCAAATGCCTACAGTACAAGCTTTCTTTTAACCACCAGATACAAAGCTTGATTTTATCTAGAAAGATTTGAGATTCAGGATTTGGTTTAGTGATATTATTATGCAACCATATATGATTCTGAAAGTTTCAGGAAAGCACATGGAAAAATACTCATAAACTGTATATGAATAACTCACTAATTTTCTCATTCAAAAATATGGTCCCTCCATTCGTGAAGCTCACATAGCAAACAATCTAAAAGGAAAGCATTGAAAGCTCATATATATTTGATAAATGTCAGTTTTACTGGCTAATAAACATGTTGTAACTCCAAGTCACTCAGGAAGATGAACTGATAAAAATAATTACATTATAAAATACGAAGTGATTGTGTCTTGGAAAAAGGAGTAAATAATTCTGACAAGTGGACAGATAAAGTTTTATGGGGGAAAAAAGGGTGTCTACGAATAAGTAGAAACTTTCCAAACTTACTAGGAAGAGTCAGACCAGGAAGAGAAAAGAACATTAAAAAGAGATGTGGCATAAAGTGGCATAATGCTCACTGTGGACAGAATGCCACCAACAAGAGGAGACAGGAACAGAAACATGAGCTGCTGTCAGATCAAGAAAGGTTTTTTGTCACGTGATAGCCAGATACCATCACTTTTCACACAGTTGCCCACAAATTTCATGTCCTTTGCTGAAATTGGGTATAAAGCATCTTGTGACCACCTTTTTCTTGCCAATGCTTGTCCCATAGTAGACTCAGAATAGGTGACCTCTATCTAATGAGGCTACTCTCTTTTGATATCTTCCCCATTTCTTATAAGCGAGTTAGCTCAGGATTTCCAACTATGAAAAGATGGGTCAAGTGCTGACATATTATGATTTCAAACTGATTCCCTTAAAATTATGTAAAGAGTACCTTACAATAATGTTTAACTCATAATTTATCCATGATAAAAGTAGATAGGAACACTTCATACCTAGGAACCAAGAACTGTGCATGATTGAAGCTCTTGAGCCCACAGGTTTCTAACAATTGTTAACAATGTATTTTAGCACATTTCCAAACGCATCATCTCTGCTTTCTCTACCACTGACCCAGTTTGGGCCACCAGTGAGTCTTTCACTTGTAAGAGCCTCTGAACTGATACCTATGCCTATCCTACTCAAAATCATTTTCCACACCACAACCAAAATGATCTCTTAAAATGAAAATAAGATACCTCAGATTAAGACCTTTTGATGGCTTCCCATTGTTCTCAGAATAAAATTTAAATTCTCTATCTCTTGCAGTGCCTGTCATATGTGAGGTACCCAAGTAAGACTTGCTAGATGAATGAATGCAAGCCTGTAGCTTAAGACTTGACTGAGACAGTGACTACATTTGTCTATGAACTATTACTTTTAAGTAGGAGAAGACTGACCCTGTGTTAGCTAAACACTATCAAATACTAGAATTAACAGTTCCTTAGACACTGTGATGGTTCATTTTATGTCAACTTGTACCCATATATTTAGTCAAACATAATGAGTGTATAGGTGAGGGTGTTTTTAGAGAAATCAACATTTAAATTGATGAGCTTTGAATAAAGCAGATGGTGCTCCATAATACCCATGTGCCTCATCCAATCAGCTGAAGACTTACTAGCACAAAAAGATTGGCCTCCCTAGAGGCATGAGAGAATTCTCCAGTAGACTGTCTCTGAACTTTATCTACAACATCAGCTCTTCCTGGTTCTACAGCAGACTCAAACATTTCAGACTCAGCAGAAACACTGGTTTTCCTGGGTTTCTATCCTGCCAGCCTGTCCTGAAGATTTTGAACTTGCCAGTGTAGAAAAGCATGTGAGCCAATTCCTTATAATAAATATCTTTCTGTATATGCATCTTATTGGTTCTGTTTTTCTGGAAAATCCTTAATAACACAGATACCAATTTGTCAATATGCCTCATTTTATAGATGAAGGTATCAAAGCAATTGGAAGCTAAGTCGTTTACCCAGTGTTAAGGTGTTAATGCAAGGGGTGGGCCAGAAACTAAGTATCCTGATTCTTGGACTGCTCCTTTTGAAAATTACACCATGAAAAAAAAAATAAAAATCAAAGGGAAGAAACACCACAGATCTCTTTCTTTCACCTCCCTATGAGGACACAGGAAAAGGGGGACCATCTACAAGCCAAGAAGACTTCCCGCCCCAGAACCCAAATCCTGCCAAAACCTTGGTCTTTGACTTTCCAGCCTCCACAACTGCCAGAAGTAAATCTTTGTTGCTTACGTAAAAAAATAAAAATTACACCATGGTTCCCCTATATGACTTATACTTAGCTCAAGACAGGCTTGGCAACAACATTATCTTCGTTTCCCTCCTTTCACCAAATTGCATGAATTAGCATACATTGCCAAAGCAGGTTGTTACTGACCTTGAGGTAGAAAATTATCTCCTATAGATTTTCTGAAACTTTCTGAAGATGGTTTTCCCATTCCCTTCATGGCTATAGTCCTACTGTTTAATCCTATGTGTGTCTTTGTGAAATAAGTACATTACAGAATAATACTACAGAACAAGCTGAGTTGTAGGAATTTGAAATAATTTACATTATCATCCAATGAGTCAGTGTCAGATAAGAGTTAAGAAACACTTTTTAGTACCTCTGATCCAAGAGACATTTTCCTTAAAAGTTTAGAACAAAATAAAAATGAGTTTAAAACAATGGCCTTGCTTTCCTACCAAGACGAAAGTTAGAGCAATCTTGATTTATGTCAGAATGCGAGTAAGGGCCAGGCATGGTAGCACATGCCTGTAATCCAAGCAACTCTGAAGGCTGAGGCAATAGGATCTCAAGTTTGAGATCAACCTGGGTAACCAGAATATAGTGGTAAGTTTTCTCTAGGATCAATCCCCAGTACCACAAAGAATAAAAAAAAATGCTAATGGTTATAATAGAACTGATGTTTATAGGTACAGGTGAGAAACAAATTTATTAACTAGCTAATGGCTAGGAACACCATAAGTTTGGGTACGAAGGGAAAGGCACAATAAACTTCAATCATAAACCTAAACAACATACTCAAGTTGCTCTAAGAGCCAAACATACTCCCATAGTAGTTCGATGAGAACAACCTAAATGAAATAATTAAAACCAGTGGCACTTCATTAAAAAATCATGTGCTGAGAGCAGCAAGAAGAAAAGAGAAATGAGAGATGAGAAACTTTTAAATAAATTGATGGTCTATAATGACTACACTGAACCCATAAAACAAGAATCTACCCATATCTCCAAAAATGATAAAATATGTTGGGGAAAATCTGGGTAAGACAAAACAAAAAGTTTCTTTACTAAAAGACCTCTCAGATCCCAGGAGGAGGATGCAATACAGAGTACTTTCCAGACTGGATGGGAACACAAAAGCCTTTTTCCATGGGTCATCTAATGGGCTTAGGAATCGATGAGACACATTTTGGGAAATAGCAATTTACTAAATACTTTTTATCTAGACAAAATATTAGCACTGCTGCTATAACACAAGCAAATGAATACATTCACAGCACATGAATGAAATGTTTGCAGCATATTACTCAATGATGGATTTAAAGTATGGTTTCTCAAATGTTTCTCATTGCTTTACAACTGTTTTCAAATAAATTACTTGGAACTATGCAACAGTACCAATTATGATGAAACAGAAGGGAAAGTGAGAAAGGAACTTGCTTAGTGAAAGGAAACCATCTCTATCCTACAATTATCTAAAGCAAACCAGGATGCAAACATTTTCTGTAGATTAAGGCTCTGATCACATTTCATCCAATAAATCTTTCTGCAGAGGTTGTGCGTGTTTGTTCCTGTTTATAGTACATGCTTGTTTAATCTTTCCACAAAGGCTTTCTTGTCTCACGAAATGTTTTCTTAAACATATAAAAACTGTTTGACTCCTTCTATAAACTGACAGGAATAAAATTCTTTCCAATGTTCTTCTCAGAATTACTACAAAGATCTGTAATAATGTCCTACAGAAAACTCACAAAATTTAAAATTTAGGACTTTAAATTCTCAGAAGATTCTTCCTGATGTTCTCAATCCAGTTTTCAAAAAAAACTCATTCTCGCCTTGATCTTGTGGTCATTTTTTGTGACACAAACAGTTTTAAAGTTTTGAGTCCTTAAATCCACGAAGTACCATGTAGATAGTGACTATACTCAGAGTCCTAAAAATGTACAAACTAGAATATGGAAACAAGGAGTGCTAGCAAGTCACTGAAATTCTGCAGTCTAAGGATTGAGACCTGCCAGTAAAGGTATTCACTTCAGAGGTATCCAGTACACTAGAAAGAGACCAGAATACTCCATTTTATTTTGAATCTATGTGTGTGCGAACATGGCCACTTATATAATTCACTTAACTCAATGCTCCCCTTCTTAGAATGAGAATTTTCTAAGGGAAAATACTGATATTATTGTCATGCTCATTAGTAGTGTCTAGTGATTCCTTAAGAGGCATGGGCTCTGGAGTCAGAAAGGAGAAAGTCAAATCCCAGCCCTACCATGCACTGGTGATGCAACATTTGGTAATTTACTCACTTGCTCTGTGCCTTCTTTCTCATCTATAAACAGGATGCAGTCCTTACCTTACAGGATTGCTACAAGAATTAAATGAATTTGTACATGTAAAACACTTATGAGAATACTTAGTGTGTGATCAGCCTCAAATGTCTGTTATTATTCAGTTGAGTTTTGAAAGCTGTCTTCAATGAAGAATACTGGAACTGGGGTTAGGAGCTGTGACCAAGGATCTTCTCTCTCTCATTTAGAAGCCATGAACAAGTCATTTAATTTATTTAATGAATCAGTTAGGATCACGACAGAAAACAGCATTCTCAAGTGGGAGTCTGAGGAAAACTGAACAGAGGTGCTATTTGCAGAGGTGTAAGAAGGGAGAGGCGCTTCTGGACTAGCAATAGCAGGAAGCCATGACTAACTGCAGGCTTGAAAAGAACCAGGGAGGAATGGAGTCAGCAGAGCCTGGTAAGGGCTACAGCCAGGTCAGAGGATCCACCTGACACAGGCTAAAGTCTTAGGGGATAAGCCACTGCCAGACTGCTGTGCTAAAGCAGAAGTGGGGCCAAGCAGACATACTGGGACCTCTCTCTCTTCCTGTCCTGCTGATGCTCCAAATAGCCAAACCCAACAGGAAGCCTGAAGGCAAATGAACCTGGGGTCTAGTCCGTAGGTGAGGGACCCTAGGGCACAAAGCAGGACAGTAAGAATGACTGGGAAACGAGAAGGCAGAAAACAACAGATAGGAGTGAGTTGAACCAAATGTAAAATAAGGGCTGGGCTATGTAATTGTAAGGTCCTTTCTGGTTCTGAACCTTATCATTCCAGTGTTCAGCCTGATTCTTGGATCTATCTAACTGCTATTCTGTGCTTTATCTGGACTATGAATGTTCTATGATCCAACCATTCTAATTTATAATTAGGTGTGTATATACATACTTGCTGAAATTAAATAGAAGCCTCTCAAAAACTAAGACGGGTCCCGTGCTGCTTAAAATAGTGAGTGGTTGACCCGCAAAGAGACAAAAGATCGCTCCAGAGACAGCAGTGCCCAGGAAGCTCTCCAACACACCCTGAAAGAAAGAAAATACAGGTGTTAAATAAACAGATCTATCTTTTTTCCACTTGTGATGTTAGCAGGAAAATGAAGCTACTTGAATACATTATTATTAGGTCTCTAGCAAACAGCCCAAGAATGAAGAAAGACTTACTGACATAAATGCTGCTACCATGCATTTCATCTCATATGGTTAGTCATTCTTGTTCAAGGGCTGGATTGCTCCAAAGAACCATAAGGACTGTAATGACTGGTATATAAAGCATAAAAGGTAGCTCTCATTCTTACTTAAAAAAATTGATGATTTTATCAATAAAATGACATTTTATAAAACCATGAAATGGGTAGAAATCTCTTGGTACTTTTTTCAATGTTTTAGCCTGATTTCACCTTGCACAGAGTAGGCACTTTAAAGCAGCTGTATTTTATACACAATATATAATATAGTTTTAAAATACAGTTTGCTCCATTTTTTAAAAAAAAAGTAGTTTTACTTTTTTTTTTAAATGGAGCAAACTGTATTATATGCACTAATGGATATATCAAAATGAAAGCCACTATTACATATAACTATAATGCACTAGTAAAAACATTAAAAAGGAGGGGCAATCTCCAATGTCCTGCAGTTACTTCTTTCCCAACATTTTACATGCAACATTGCAAATGTGTTTATTCCTGTCTCTCCTTTTAGCAAAACAATAATTTTTTCTTTCTGTTTGTATACAAAGTATATTCATACCAATTCGTGTTTTCATACATGTACTTTTGGATAATAATGACCATCACATTCCACCATCATTTCTAATCCCATGCTCTCACCCTTGCCCCCCCACCCCTCTGCCCTATCTAGAATTCGTCTATTCCTCCCATGTTCCCTTTCCCTACCCAACTATTTCAGAAAAGCTTTTGAAATGAAATGGGGAGCAAAGGAGATTTTTAAAAAATGATTATCCATCCTGTAATTTCTATAACACCAATTTCAAAAAAATGTTATATACTCACTGTTCAATCTAAACTTATATACATGCTTCAATTAACTTTATCTCTCAAGGAAACAAGTGTGTAGGGATATAAATAGCTAAATTTGGTCATATCTCCTTGTAGGTATATCTATGGAAAATAATCAGCAATTTTCCTCTAGCATAACAAGAACAAAGAAACACATCATCAAGCACCAGAAATTTACAAAATAGCCCTTAACTTTCTTAATCATGTCACTGAGCACCAAAGCTTTCAATGATGACAAACTGACCTGTTTACTTTTCATTGTTTAAACATCAGTTAGAATAGCACATGTGTATTTGTAGGAAAGGTCTATCTGTAAACTTACAATAATATTTTACCAAGGAATGGTGTTTAAATGTAAAAAGATGACAAGGACCATTCATTCATACAAAAAGCTATAAATCCGAAAACTAAAATTTATCAAAAAAAACATTTTTCAAATGAACAAAGTTATGCAGCTTTAAAAGGTACAATATAGCCAATGTTAGACTAATTTACACAATGGAGAAAAATTATATGATATCTGTAAATTTGTGTGTGAAAAGAAACTATTATGGGAATAATTCTCTCTTCAATTAAACAATAAATTACTCGCTTCCAGAAGTTAATTTATGTTACATAAACATGCCTCTTAATCTAAATATCCCCAGACTGGAGTAAAGTGGATTTCTGGAGAATCTGACTGATCCTCATTCATTTTCTAGGTCCCCAACTCCCTAGTTAGCCTATCCTGCTGTCAGCCTCACCAGACCACCTCTTTCCACTGTTTCCAAAGTCCTCCAGCAACTTTTCATTCACTTATCATCTTTAAAGAAACTATAATACACAGGAAATGATTATGAAGAAATTGGGTTTTGAAAATCAACTTACAGAACCTAAGCACACTAAATTCCATCCCCACTTAAAAGCTATCCTAGGAGACCCTTGCTACAGTTATTACTCAAAATATTTTTATACTGCTTCAGAGCCAGCAACATTCTCCTTAGAGTGATATTAGCAATAGCAAACCCTCCTCTTTTAGAGTTTGATTCAGAAAACAGATGACAATGCATTCGAACAACACGAGGGTAGCACTAGATAACCAACCAGAGTTAGAGTGGGAGGCAGTAAAAAAAGTCAGTAAGACTAACTTGTCATATGGCAAGTAACACCACTCTGAAATAATCCAGAGAGCCCTTGTTGATGGAAAAGTCTAGGTTTGAAGTCTGGCAGGAGTCTCTTTTTAGACACCCTTATGACATGAACGTGAGTTCCAAAGCATGACTAAAGGTGTCATCTCAGTATTTACAGACAATCCAGCTCATTCTTCCTCATAGGAACAGAATCAGAATGTCAAGCAATGCTAACAGAACCAAGATGCCCCCAAAATAGGATTTGTCTTGATTTCTCCAGTGTTTAGAGACTGAGGTTCAGGAGGGTTAAATGATATGAACATAAATGTGGCATAAGAACTCTTTGGCATACATACCTGCCCAACTAACCTAATCCTTGGCAAGGATTAAAGGTGTGCCAAGCTATAATTTTCTTAGACATACAGTTTTTCACCCCTTGATGGTGGGCGTTTCATGTCTTTATCTTTTTTTTTTTTTTTGCAATTTACATAAAAGTTTTAGAACTTGAATGCTCCATGGGAAGACAAGCCACATTCTAGATACATGTGACAGGCAAAGGTACACCTCTTTATTCTTTATCAGGCACAATGGAATGCCTGTTTCTCATCATTATTGCAGAATTAAAACATGGCTCTGGCTAAGTGTAAGAGAGAATATAAAAGAAAAAAAAGGAGGTGTATGAGATTTAGGATTCTCCACTTGGCAGAACTATTAGTCTCTGCAATGGCAGGAACAGGGTCTTCTGGTGTGTCTTTCATGGTTCTCCTTCTTCCAACAGGCTATCCACCACCTGCCATGTGCTCTGCAGGCACTCAGTAAATGCTAAAGGAACCAGAGAAGATGAGCCCAAATGATACTAGGTCCACCTGTCAAAGGTCAACAGCCGTCATTGGTCATTTATTAAAGATAGCAACCAATTTCTTCCAGAATATGGCTTTGATTTATGGAAGCCATGTGACTGTTCAAAGGCAGATTATTTTTATTTCAGTACTTGATCCTTTGGTTAGCACTACAGTTTCCATTCTGTGGCTCACAATTTTGAAACAGACAGGTGATTTATTATACACACTGCACTGGAAACTCGCTTAAACTTCACGATGCTTCCTGCATTTCTAAGAAAGTAACTATTTTCACCACATCTTGACATGTTCCTCTTCATGATACAGAAATTTTTTAAATAATCTCGTATAATGAATATTTATATCTAGAGCTTAAAACAATTTATAAGGTGAACTATCAGAAGCCTCTTTTCTGATTTATTATATTAAATATTCACAGATATAAAAGGGGAAATACTGTGTGGACGTGTGGTTTTTTTAATAGCTATTAAGTCACAGACACTTGGATACCTGATTTCTCTGAGGAGCAAACTCCCTAGTATTTCACAACAATGCAGCCAGCTGAGCTCTGAGGTGTGGCAGAATCAGGAGCCACTAATGCTCCAGGCCACTCTACTTGGGCTTTCACTTTATTCCAGTTCTGATCAGATGATTCCAACTGTGGAACAGTGGGAGCAGCAAACAGCTGGCAGACAGGAAACGTGAAGTCTAGACTCTTTTGCCCCCAGAGAGCTTAGGACTTAGGACTCTCAGTTAACTTCTATCAATTTTAGTTTCTCCAGGTAAGACAACCACAAAAAAGAGAAGAGGTAGGAGAGCAATGGACTCCGGAATCAAACATTCCTTTATCTGACATCCAAACTGTACCATTTCTTTGATCAATGACTTTTAAGGAAGATTCTTAATCTCCCTGAAAAGGTTAGTGTGCACTTGATCAGATAATGCATATAAAATGCTCAGCATGGTCTCTGATAGATGAAACCCTTTTTGAACAATAATAACCACATGCATAACGTACTTATTTAGACACAAGATGAAGAAGTTGGACTAGATGATCTTCAAGAACTCTCTAGGTTGCTCAGCAAAAAGAGCATGCCTTACAGTAACAGATACCTGAGTTTAAATCTTATACCAGTTACCTCTCTAAATTCAAATTCTCTCTTCTGTACATTGATGGCTCCCTCACACGATAGTTACTTAGATTAAATGATACAATGAGGTATAATGCACTCAGAAAAAAACCTAACACAAAGCTGAGACACAATATAATGCTGGTTTCCTTTCCTTTGTTGCTTCGTATAATCTTTCCCCCAGCCAATCTCTAGTATTTGTTTTCTTTAAGAGAGGAAGAAGATGGAGAGAAAGTTAAAAGGAGTGGCATAAATAGAAAAGATGAAAATCAGTCCTCAGAGAGAAGTGGGGGATAGCTTCTAGATCTGCAAAATTTTCCAGAGAATTTCCAAATCAATAGAAGCCCTGGGGAGCAAGGGCAACTCCGTGGCCATCGCCAGTTGCTCCTTTCATCAAAATTGATGGTAATAAACAAAATAGTTTATTTTACAGAAGTAAAATCCAAACCCACATCCAAACCAATTTGTGAAAATACTTTTCTACTTTCATGAGGGTATGAAATTAAAGAAAGGATGGCCCCTGGTTTTCAAAATAGTGCCCCCCCCAAATTAAGACAAATCCCAAAATAATAAAATCAAGCATAAAAGAAGATCAGATCCTAGGAGCAAGATTCTAAAAACATTGAAATCCAACCATAATTTGTAATACCAGCATTCCACATCTTTGGGCTACTTATGACAATGGTTGCAAAGGGCACCATTTCCTACCATGGCTGATTCAAAACAACCACAATCAAGAGAATAAAACATTAAAATTGGAAAATGTATGCTGTCAACATCAACTTTACTGCAATTTAGTATCTTTATATAACACTGAAGAATGACTTGTTGTTTTGTGTCCCTTTTTATTAAGGCCCTTATTATTTGGGTTAATATTTGCAACCTTGTTTAGGGAGGCTGGGTAGTAATAACAGAAGGGTGGGGAGTAAA